TGGCATTTAGGAGAGGAGAGTGAATAGGAAGAGTAGAAGAAAAAGAATTGAATGAAAATCTTTTAGACATTAGAATCTGGTTGCCAATTGTGTGGTGGTTGTTGAACTGTTTGATGTGATGGGTGTGATGGGATGGTATGTGTAGCACTTGAAGGTTGATTCTGATTGATGGGAGTTGAAGAAAGTTGGAGGAGGTGAATATTTCTGCTACCTGTACGTAGGCAGTACAAGTACGGCATGCGGCACAATGATGTGGTATATCTTTTGAGGGCTTGGGATTGCTAATTGGGGTGGGAGGGGTCTATGTAGAGTGGACTGGATTAGCTTGTGTGGAGGTGTGTGTTTATATTGGAAATGGTAGAATGAAGATGGGGATAGAGATTAGATTAAGAGGGCTGTAGCGGGTAGTTAGAAACAGGGATAGGATGAGGTGAGGTGAGATTGAATAGGGATATATTTCAAGTGTTCACATGGTGTGTGGGTATGATTCTATGGTTAAAAAGAGCCTATGCACCTAGGTAGTAAGTTCTCAATATTACTTTAGGCTTCACAATAGAGATACCGGGATTCGGGTTAATTATACAAGTTTTGATGTTTTTGCTACCTCTTGGATACAGACGATCTGGATTCCTCGAAGTATCGAACTTTTCATTGATTTTCTAGCGTGTATGCATATGTTTGTAACGCAAAGGCGCAACGAGTGTGAAATCGCACTTGGCTCGTCGTGGTAGCTCATCTGGATGAGAATGTTCTTTTCGTAGGCCTGTTTTATGTTCCTTATCTCACGATGTTAAATGTAGACTTGACTCATCATGTCCTCCTCGGAGAAAGCCCTTTATGAAGCGATAGTGTCTTTTGAAAGCGAGCTTTTCTTTATGGCGGTCTGAGCTCTTACTTGGGCGTGAAAGGGGGAATTCATTGCTGTATTCGCGTAACATTCAGGTTCGATAAGATGTTAATAGGAATCAATATAACATGATAATATCTCGTCCTCTCTACTTTAGTTGCTCGAGGAGAGCATTCGTCGCGCAGACAATAATAACGGACGAAATGAATTGTCACTTAAATAGTAAAGATAGCACAAGGTCATGATAGAAAACGACCACTTCAACATGACGACACGTTACCTCATCTACTGCCCTCCTGCCATCTCTTTTCATCATAGACCATTTTCATGACCAAACTCATCTACTTTGAATGCGAGTTATTGCAAACTTTGCAATGCAAAGTACCTGTTTCCAAAAGAATCCTCAACACTCATCGGGAAGCGAATGTCCCTACTCATGAAAATAGAATCAATATGTCACCAGACATTTCAAGAATGAAACTATAACCTGGAACTTATATTTTCTCAACGTCTGTTTTGAGTGCTAACTAATCACTATCTCAGAGGCTTAAGGATGTGAGATGTGCGGTGAAGCTTTTTGATCTTCAGATCTCTAGCATGTATCTGAAAAATTCTGGAGTATATCATGAATCATTGTCAAAGATTCATGTCGAAATTTTAATATCAACAGTATATCAACCCAAATCAACTAGCGCTCGAAGCAGGAAAGAAAATGATCTGAAAGGAGGATAATTAATGCTCATGGCATTTTTCCAAGAAGCTTGTCGGAAGCCGTGTATACATTATAGCCGGTAGAAAAGAAAAGGGGCTACCGGGAGCTCACCGAAAGTTCAACGAGAGTTATATATCACGCCAGGAAGAAAGAACAGATACAAAGAACTCTTCTACCTCCCGAAACTTTTAGCTATTTGAGATAAGTAGCTTCACTGGGATTTGCAGTATCTACGGACTGTTGACCGAGCTTATATATCTTGTACAACTTTGATCACACGGTGCCAGGGTGTTGCACTCCTTTGATGCACCTTATTATCTCCAAAACATGGTACATAAGAATTTGATCTTTCTGTAAAGCAGCTAGATCGTAGCCTTGTACTATGCTCCGTGGAACTGTTGAGTTTGATTGACATGAGGTCCCCAAAACATGGCTTACATAACGAGATGTGGTGTTAGACCTCGTAAGATGTGTCTTTAGTAAATTGCACACATCAAAGGCTAGTAATATCATGTGACATTAGTCAAAGGTCGATAAACCCACATCTTCGAGATCACTAGGAATTGAATTGAAGCAAAACGTGAGGTAAATAGATTATCTCTTTCTTTGATCACCATTCTCAAGTATAAACATAACTCCACAAAGTCTCACACTTCCCAAACTATTCAGTATGGAATCACATATTATATCCCCGCCCAAGAGCAAACGTCCGCCAAAACCTAAACCTCAAAATCCCATCGAATCCACCATTCGATCATTTTTCCAAACACTTCCTTCCACGTTATTTTCAGAAATCTCGGCTTCCCTCGACTTGCTTGTATCCACCTCCCCCAAGCGCTGGGTGATATACTCACCCATGCTTCTCCTCCCCTCTGGATCATTCTCATCGCCACATTGGATCTCTCTCCTCTCTCTTATTTCCCCTTCCCAAAAAGAAGCATTCTTTACACAAATTCTGCAGAGCGTGTCAAAGAAAGAAGGCAAGAAACTCACGCATCTTGCTATTAATGCTGGCATACCTCTTCATGAGAAAGAGAAGGAAGGAGAAAACGGAGAAGAAAATATCTTGAGAAGTCCTAGTGGATTACTCATGTTGCATGGAGATTTTGGCCCCGATTTTAAAGGTGACGAACCTACGGAAGAAGATTTCGAAAAAGCGTTTTGGGTGAGTACGAAGCAGAATGGGATTGAACAGGTGTGGGCGCCTAGATGGACTATGTTTAGTAGGGGGAATGTGAAGGAGAAGGCTCGGCTGTTGGGGTTTCATGATGCTGTTTCGATGGAGAGCGGGAATGGGAAGAGGGAGATAGGGAAGGAAGAGAGGAGGAATTGGACGGCGGTGGATTTGTATGCGGGGATTGGATATTTCGTGTTTAGCTATGTGAAGATGGGGGTGAAAAGGGTAGCCGGGTGGGAATTGAATGGATGGAGTGTTGAGGGATTGAGGAGAGGAGCGATAGCTAATGGGTGGGGAATAAGGGTTGTGAAGAAGGGGGAAGTGGTTGAAGAAGTTGAAGATGAGAAGATTGTGGTATTCTTGGAGAGCAATGTGGAGGCTGAGAGGAGGTTGGAAACTATAAAAGGCCTCGGGTCAGTGAAACATGTAAATTGTGGCTTCTTGCCTACAAGCGAACCTACATGGAAATCGACTGTGGAAATTCTGGGAGAGGATGGATGGTTACATTTACATGAAAATGTCGGGATTGCAGATGTGGAAAGAAGGAAAGGGGAGATTGAGACAATGTTCCAAGCCTGGCTTAAGGAACGAGCTGATGGAAGGAATGTGACGGTTGAGCATGTCGAATTTGTTAAGACTTTTGCTCCCGATGTTTGGCATTGTGTTTTTGACGTTTACGTCGGTAGATAAACCATAGACATCATGATATCCAACTGATGCAAATCTTCCAATTCAGAAACAGAATGATGTGGTTGGTTATTGACTGAGCTCAACTGCGGGAGCCATACTAGAAATATGCAGTAGAAAAGAATGTCCTTAGCGCATCTCATCGTATGATCCACCAAAGAATACTTCAAACCCCTAGATACATCAAATTCTCCATTTCCTTCCTTCCTTCCTTCCTTCCATTAAAGTCATAGCCAACCTCGAGATAACCACAATCATGAACCAACCTATTTCACCCAGACCATCACAAGCGAAATTGAGCCCAAACTCCAGAATTATCGTGGACACTAAAAATCCTCTTAATGGACCCATCCAAATCATTTGCGAGTTTTTTGCTTTTTATGGTCACTATATTATTCATACGGCCAGACTAATCTTTGGCTAAAGCTTATCATGGATATATACCTAGAAGAGTGGTGATATATCAGTGTTTCCACCGTAATGCTTCCATAATTGAACAGATAACATGTTCAACTCCTCCAAATGTATTTAAATCACACCGGCAGCACCATAGAAGTCGACACCGATTTCTTGTCCGACAATATCGCATAGACGGCGACGAACTCATCTTTCACACCAAGATTATTTCAGGAAATGTTTGGAGCACATAGTCGACTATGGAGAAATGACCTGGCCTTCCGTATCGATGAGATGAAAGAGTGAATACTCAAACCACGAGAGGGTGGAGGAGTTACTGTACCATATACACACGTCACGCGTATACCCTTTCCGTAGACAAGCGAACTTTCGCAAAAGCTCCTCATCTCGCAAATCGAGACGTCGAAAAACTTACTATAAGCTCAATATCAGCATTTGATTTCTATACCTAAAGCCCATAAATGTATGATAAATGTTAAATCACTCCTTACCAATTACAAGAGGGGGAATAAAAACATACGCAATAAGTCATTTCGTCAACGCAAACTTACCCATCGCCTCTCCAACACTACCACCAAATTCGCTTAAATCCTCATATATATATATTCAAACAACGTCTTCACTTTTGGTCATTAGCACTCCATTCGGGTCGCCTTGGCGCAGTTGGTCGGCCGCTGCGTTATAACCACCTTCGGGTGGGTGGAGAGTCTGAGCAGCGAAGCGACAGTGATGCCCTCATATCGAAGAGCGCAGCCGGAAATTAACTTCATTTCAGAGAGGTTTCCCTCTAGACGGTTTTTTGCCATTTTTGATGGTTGAATTTCTTTTTGCTTTGTATGAGAAAAGAGGGTGGCTGGTTGGATAAACCTTATTTTGGCTCAAGATCAGAGAAGAGTATTTGGAAAGCTCCAGCCTCCTTTGAAATCGAAATGAGTACATAAACGATGGAGGAGATAATCTGCCACTGGCAAGATATGAATAAATGATAAATGCGCGCACATGACGCTTCCGATTGTTTAGATGGCTTGGGAGAGTGTATGCATGTGAAAGCTAGGATGTTGGGAAAGGTATCTCTGTATGTACTGATACTTATCTAGTAGGTGTAAAATCTATTCATCTTAACGTCTTAACATTATGTCTATACTTTCAAACATAACCAATCATTGTTTATCCTTTCTGAACTTATCAGGAATATTTTGTTCAACAATGGACATCTTATCCAAAGCTGCAACTCTATCGGCTTCATCTTCCAATTCATCATGCTTCTTAAAATGTTCAATATCCTCCGGGTGTATTAGATCCTCTTCCTTCGTATTCTCGTCGTGGTATCTGCTTCAAATTAGCCCGAGATTCTTTCATGATAACATTCCCTCCCTTTATTTTCTCCTAGGGAAGTGATACGTACTTCTGCCAATGATGAATCTCATACTCCATCTCAATGTCCCAATGATGACCAGGTCCCAATCCAAAATCCGGTAACAATCCTCCAGTCCCCGAATATCTATCCCATTCTTCCCTTTCCACTTGTCCGTTATTATTATTATCCATCAATTTTAATATCTCCTTCAGTATATTATCCTTCTTATCCTGCGGCACATCTTTTGCGGTTTCATCTTCCATGCCGTAGAATTTGAGGATTTCCGCTTGGTCCCATACACCGTTGTTATCGAAATCATGCAGTGTGAAGAAGGCACCGGCATCAAAGTTTTCTATATGATGTTCCTCTATTTGCACATTAGTCAATTGATACACAACATCGGCGTCGAAGTCAAAAATGAATGAATTGGAAGGAATCTCACCAGCCATATGTCTAGTACCCCAATCCGCGTCTGGATCCACGGTCAAAGGTTTCTGATGTGCTACACCTCCATGTGCAACGACCAATCCGACACAAGCCAAAAGCCCACCTATCCTTCCAAGTCCCAAAGTCATTATCGTAGGTCGTTAAAGGTAATTATGATGAAAGGTGTTATTTTGTCGCAAAAAGTATGAAGTCAGTATCGGATTATTGGAGACGGGAATCACATCGTCGAGACGAGACGCTTGGATGTAGAATTCAGGGGTAAGCTCCGGGCCCGACGTCAGTACAAGGATTCGACAGGGTGTGTACTCGAGGCTGGACCTTTATTTTTTGAGCTGCCGTATATTTACACATAACGGTTGAGCTTAGATATATATCGAGATCTTTATCAATGCCATAACTTTTCAACTATGCCCAAATTTCTCCTTCACAACAACAATTGAACACACCACAAGAATTGTCGCACTCAAAAAATGAATCAAGCCACCTCACAAGTCCTCTCGAATCTCATTCCCCGACATTCTGGCACCCTCCCCCCCGAGCTCCTCGCTCTAACCAGTTCTCTCATTTCCCAATCACGCCTGAGATGTTCATTAAGTCAAGAGCAGGAAATTGGGAGGACGTATGCCTGTGCCAATCTTGCTTGCGAACGGTTTGTTTCCCAAACAATTGACTATATTTCTTTGTCCATCTACTGACCAAATTCTAGTTTAAAAACAACCTTGAATCTCCCCAAAATCGAACCTCGACCTCCACTTCCTCCCAGAGTTTACAAGAAACTATACGCATATATTGAGGATACACTAGCTAGCACAACACCGAAGAAACGCGCCAGAGTTGAGGGAAGTGGAATTGAAAGTGGAAATGCGACGCCGAGTAGACAATCATCTAAGAAACGCACACCAGGCCATAATGATACGCCTATAAAAACTACGCTCCCGCAACGAGGTACGCCATCCAAATCAAAAAGTCTCGCGAGTTTTCGCACTCCGAAGAAAGGATTGCGGTATGAGAAGAGAGATGAGACGAAGATACCAAGGTGGGTGGGTGTGATAGGTAGAGAACTCTGTGCGAAATTGGGGATGAAGGAAGCTACGCCGCATGTTTTGGCTGGGGTGGAGAGTCTGATATTTTGGGAGGAAGAGAAGATGAGGAAGGGCGAGGAGATAATGGGGAGGTGGCCGGCGATGATGATGGCGGTTTGGAGTATTGTTTGGGGGAAGTTGAGGACGGGAGAGGAGGTGTTGAGTGATGAGGAGTTTAAGGAAAAGAGATTGGAGACTTTGCAGGTGTTGAGATTGGCAAGAGGAGATGAAGAGGTTGAGAGGAAGGTTGGGAGTGGAGGATGGGAGGGCTGGGATTTACCAGAGGAGGATGAGGATGAGGAGGAGGAGAGGAGTAATGCGAAAGATGTTAATGGCTGGATGGCGGAGATTTGCAATAAAGGGTGTTTGGAAATGGATTGGTATCAAAATATGGTTCGACCAGACGGTTCAGATGATACGGAAGATGACCAAGAACGAGAGGATGCTCTAGATGAAATCCAAAGAGTGCGAGTTCGCGAAGACGAAATGAGATATGGACTGGGAACAATGCGACAAGCGAAAGTAGACTACTTGACAGAGAAGAAGAGAGCTGAATACAAGGCGTGGAAAAGGAATATCCTGGCTAAGATTGCACGGCTACAGAAAGAGGGAAAGAAAGGACATGTGATGGATATTGAAGCATAATGAATGTGTTAGTGTGTTGGGATTGATACCCTTATGGAGTTGATAACAATGATTACTGGGACTTGGTCATTATCCAATTCAAGATTTGTTCTACACGTCGAGGTTTTGTTTCCAGATTCTTATGAATTTCTATTCATTCTCGATGACACAAGAATACGATTTCGTACATGCTGATTGGAAGCCAATAAAACAAACTATCTCACCCATTTGACAATCCACCTGAACTTCCCCTCCTCCTCTCCATCACACACCCACAAGCCACACACCTCGCTCCCTTCTCATCCATTACTATCCCATAGAACCCAATGATCCAATAAACCTCCCTCGCCAATTCCCACAAAATACTCTCACATGTATATCATATTCCCCACTCGACCGCGCCCTACCTACCAGTCAGTATACCTACCATGACCAATTTCCGTATTTCTCATTTTGACGAGCTGAGATGTAGGAAGGAGAGTTTTGTGGGGTTGATTTGCATTGGTTTTGTATTAGGTGTAGATATATGTGTATGTTACTCGTCCACCTAGTATGTAAATAGAAGAGTAATTTGAGGAGAGTATGAGAACGGAGTGGGTGGAATTTGTGTGTTTGTTTGTTTGTATAGAGTTGATATGAGGTAGGTATCTTATAAGAGCTAGTTGGGGTAGAGATAGAAATCAGATTGATTTCACATTGAAGATTTCATCTATAATCTATTGGTAAAATAGAGGCTATACTTACCTATAATTTCAACGAAAGCTTTATCCATGAAGTTCCCTCTACCGCTAGATATTGAGATATGGAAAGAGGGAGAATAAAACGTAGAGAAAGTCAGTCATGGAAATGTCGAAAGAGAACTATCCATGATTTGGATTCCTTGAAGTTATTCGTTCTTACTTTGTTATGCTCTCTCGCTGTTGGGTATACAGCCGTAGCCCTTAACATATGTCGAGAATAAAAATTTGATATGAAAGACCTTTTTCAAGCGAGAAAGATGCTGTGCTTTGATTTGAAGTTCTAAGAGATATAGTTGGTGTTTGGATGAAATCTAAAGTATGGGACAGTGCGAAGGGAAACAAAGAGAAGAATGATTACACTTCTGAAGTTGATACTGGTTTACTTTACAAGGTATGTTCTGTCTGTACCGTGTGCTAAGAAGAAAACTTTTTTATCATGGTAAGAGACTGATATTTTGAAAGGATTTGATGCAAGTTGAAAAACTTTCACACTTTCTGTCGCTATTGATGCTGTGTATGCAGAACTGTTGGGATGGATAGGCAATAGCTCTGACATATTTCAGCACTATTCACGTGTAGTGATTCTAATATCTCTTTGGATATTCAGCCTCTCTGAGAGGTGAAGTAGAATACTTGTGCATAGATCTCGACTCAAAATGTCACATGGCCAATTGTACCGTGGTAGGTACATGGAATATACGCGTAAATACTTGTGTATCTCAATATTTTGTAAGCTTTACAAAAGATTATTCATATCGCCAGATTATCCGAAATAGAGGTCGACGAGACGTCCATTTTAGCAGATCACCTTCAGGAACGTGAGGAGCCACTTGATCCTCGAATGCTCTGAAGGGCGTAAACATTCTCCGAATAGTCCGTACATAAACTGCCGGTTATAGGAAAATGTGTATTTGACGTCAAATGTAAGGGTTTCCAGGCCGTGGTAGCTTTCGGAATCTATCTTGCATCGCCGTGAACCTTTATTTGGCCGTCTTCAAGACGGCCGGCCTCCGGATCAGAGGAGCGTGTTGGCCAAAGCGTATTAGTAGTCAGGACGTTGAGTATCATTGGTAGAGGTATGATAAGCTGATGATTCGGCCGACGATCCCATCTGTTCGCCGGAATATTTGCACGGAGAATTCAGCATACCGGTTTGATAAACCACGCAACGGTTTCGCGATGTATGATAAGATTTAGGGAGCCCGTTGAGGGAGGGAAAAGCAATATAGCTGAATATTGGTAAGCCAAGCTTCGGGCTATCGTGATTTGTGATTTGTGATGATGATTGGTAATACTCACAGTGGATTGTCACCTCGAGAGTTAAGAAGTTGTGCCGACTACTGTGCATACCTACATAGCACAGCTCCACGCAGTTCAGCCTCGCATGAAGAGGATTTCTTGGGTTCACTTGATGTGCGCTTGGACAATTGAATGTTTGGCCCGTGCCGATGGTACTGCACGAACCATGCAGATGGCTCAGTGGATTCGCGAGAGACGGAATAGTGATGATGAGATGCGAGAGAAAGGTGGTATTCTCGTACCAGACTGTCAAGTGATTGAGAGATTATGCTACCTATATGAAGAGATCGCCACCCCTCGAGCCACTGTACAAACTAATCTCAGATAGTTGAGATTGAAGATTACTTATGCACCGCAAGTGAAACCATCCGACTTGAGCTTAGAAATATTCTCCGGTTGACCAGACAAAGATTCTCGTTGAGTTTCGTGCCGCGAATCCCGTTGGCGAATGAGGCCTTTTCATTGCGTCTAATCTTGATAATGTAAGAATGGTCAAGTGTGTAATCTTAGAATGACATTGGCACTCATAATGAGCCTCAGTTAAGGCTGTTTCCAGCCAGCATGATAGCATCACTATGTCAACCATATTCAGTTTGTCAATATAATACTACACAAGATCTGCCTAGACAGGGGTCAACGTGATTGTTCTGGCGTGTCAACGACTATATCAAAGCGTGCTTATATGTATAATATGTACGTCGTAAGGCATGCATGATAAAATATTCCGATGCATGCAGTAGTGATCCAGCTGACGATCAAGGCGACAGGTACTCGAGTACAACCGATGAACATGTTATCTAGATGAATGTTGAGGTTACCCACAAATCTTGGAGGGGAAGTAAGAGGCGGATCTCACGAAGTCACATTTTGCATACTTTGGGGCTTCTGAGGATAAGACTTGTACTTTGTATGGATGACGCCTCTGCAGTCTTGAAGATATGTTTCGAAACATTACTTTAATCTCAAGCTGAGATCTCAAGGCGATAGAGACAGTGCAATCTCCGCAAGGCGTTAAAAATCCCAAGGAGTGGAGACAACGAAAGCATTGTGAATTTAAGTTTCAAGTTGTGGTAGAGTTTTTTCTATGAGACTAGACAATCATAATGATTTTCATTTACCCAAGCGACCGAGACTTCATTAAGTTCAATTCCCATTACATATAGCCGTTCTCAAGCCGTTATCTTTGCATCTTAGCTTCGCATTTGACGACCCCTGCGAGACCTGGTTGGTAGACCGGTTGGTAGACTGGTAGGAACTTCACATCTATTGCCTACTCTGTAAACATCTGGGGAGTCGGAACACATTGTCTGCTTACGCTATTGGCCAATAATCACAATGATAGGTACTAGGCAGTTAATCATGTAGAAATCCATTGCACATTTCACACCTGCATCAAACGGCGTGCCGCTTCCTTCACGACTCAATGATCCTTCATTGTCGCTGTCCTCATCCTTCACCCCTTTATTCGCCATCAATGGACCTTCTCGAGATATCGTCTGATCTTTTCCATCTCACCAATCTGTCACTGTGTCAAAAGAAGGGTAAAAATCTAGCTTCCAAGATCTCGACAAGGTTGATCCTCACACAATAGATATACTTGGGATGAAAAAAAGATCAAAAGGGAGTCCAAGTCCCAATTGTGCCACCGCCATAAATAAATTTAACCCCAACCCCCTTTTGAAAACTGGTACCCTAGATACATAATACACGCTTTGTACATCTTGTCCCTTGCTGCCTCGTGTGCTATCTAGGATCTAGGGGGCTCGATTCTTTTTATCAATCGCCGAATGCTTTTGGTATTGGCCTCTCTTCGTGGGGAACACAAGGAAGGCAGCTTCCATGTTGTCTGGCATCATACGATGTACTCTGCAAACCTCCAGCTACCTATGCATCTGTACTAATGTGTGCTTCGCATACGACAAACGAGAAAAGGAGGTGAGGGAGAGAGGGGATTGAGATTGAGTACGTCTTTTCGGATCAACACTTTTAATTGTTTTATTATTTAATTTATCAGGTGAGCTACATTGGAGATGAGATTCCTACTTGAGTGAATAGACATTAAAGTTTACGACCAAATAGTTCATTCTCTGCAGCACAGCAATTAGATATATCGTACCTGGATGAAGCAGGAACGCCAGGAACACCAGGGACCACCAAATGAAAGCGCCAGACAAGGATGGGAGATCGACCACATCGCCCCTGTCAGATTCCCAATGTGATATGCTGGAAGATTTGGAAAAAACCACAGGCAAAGGTTGTGAAGGTTCTGGGGTTAGCATGTTTAGTGAGAAAGTTAGAATGGATATAGTGGATGTAGTGGATGTAGTGGATGTAGTGGATGTAGTAGGTGCAGTAGATACAGTAGGTACAGTAGACACAGTACTTTCTTTGTAGACATAGTTCGTGGTGGGCATTGGTAGTGGATTCTAGAGTTTCGAGAGATACCCTGAGTAATACCCTGAGTACCTTAAGTGCTCCATAACAAGCTGATGAAATTTTTATACTTCTGTCTGCCAGACCCTGTCTCGTTGGTATATCGCCTATTATCTACCTAGTATTTCGTACAGAATAGGAACCTTCCTACCTAGAAGTTAGTAATAGTACCTACTACCTAGGTCGATAGTCGATGTTTGTTGGAGTTGAAAACCCCTGAATTTATGAATTTTTGACTTTGTGAATTTATTCACTCATACTAAATGGCCAGTCTTCCTATCATGCTCGTAGATAATAGGGAATTGGTAATAAATATCCACTATACCCTTATTCCAAATCTACAATGTACACTATACACTGCACTGTATACTGTACAGTACATCAGTACATACTGCCTAGGCACACATATATCCATAATTACATGCTACCTACTGCGTACCTACAGATTCGCCATGGCCACTTTCCTCAGACCCACGAACCGCACCGGCAAATTCCCCATTTCAGTCCTTTTCCTCATAGTCTCCGCCGAGTTGAAGCTTTAGGATTGGT